ACGTGAACTGAAACCTCAGAGGGGACATCAGTTATTTCAATGTCACAGATACACTTTACTGATGAATGCCAATAGACACAAAAGATAGGGTTGGCATTCACTGTATAATAAGGAGTTATCGCGAAGTTCTTGTATTCTTCAAATTCATATCATAAAGGAATGCAGCTGAAATGTCTCAAAATCCAATCAGAAGCAGTTATTTTAATGTTTCTGGATCCTCTGTAGTCCCTGCCAATCTGTAACAAAAATTCAAGTATTGATTTATAGGGATTAGGTTCATTGGTTACAGGATTTCATTATGAGCTGATATTGGTTAGAGAGAACTGCTGAAAAAGCTGCGGAGAGTACTGCACAGCTGTTTCGTTAGTCTACTTTGGGACTCTTCAGCGGTACGCATGGGTCATTAGATCGGGTCCTAGTGGCTCAGTAGTCTACGAGCTCACCAGCCTTGTAGCCAGAAGGTACTGGGTTCAAACCGTGCCGGTGGGTACGTGCTGATGAGGATTCCCAAACTAGGACGTAGGAAACAGATGTCCAGTACTCCCAGGTTTTCGAGTGGTTCTCTCTAACTGATTTTAGTTCATGATGAAATCCTGTATTGAAAATAATTTTGAAAACAGCCAATTTCTTGAAAATCGTTGATATTGGAGGTGAATATATGTTGTTTGGTTGGTTGCTTTCTACATTCAACAGACTTTTAATCAAGCCAGTAAAGAGGTCTGTCATTTCGTAACTTCTCATCAAAGCTCTACCATCAGACATTTATATGCATAGTCTTAACTAGTTTCCAAGGTCTGTGGTTAATGTCAGATAGTATTAAGGATAAATCAATAGTGTATGAGAAGTAATAATGTTTGATAAAATAGTAAATAATCTAACATAATCAAGAATGTGTACCACCAATAGATTAAAAGCGGTAAATAATTATCTCGGAGGTGATTGATTAGAAAGTGGGTCACACGCAATAGAAAACCTACAATAGAATTTATTATGCAACAAAAAATATTATATAATTAAAATGCAGACTAAGGCCTTTGTAGTAGGAGAGATTGGATTAAAATATCACTCTATACAAACTTCACGTATGGGTGCACCAAAAAGATGCTAAACGATCTCCATTTTACCTGCCTTAATCCTACTTTACATATGACCCTGAATCAAGTCTCTCTCTCGCGCGCGATAATCTATGTCAAGAAGTATTCACGTGTTCTACATTCGACTTCTCAACAACCATACTGGTAGGTGTTCATGAGCACAGGTTTAGACCAATGTCCTCTTGGTTATAGCCTATGCACTCTTATTTCTTCTATATTTAAATTTAAAATATCATAAATATATGTGTACGGAATTTTGGCACTGTGGTAGAGTATATATAATTCCATAATAAAGTAAGATTTTGCGGTGAAAGCACACTCACTGGTACGGTAATATTTATTTACTAATGAAACCTTTTGAGCACAATTTGTCGCCGCTCATAATTATATCAAAATGTGCTCGCATAACTTTCAAACTTTGCTTATTTAAATTCTTATCCTTTGGTTTTATTGGTATTACTATTTTCTATATCTACGGTATTGACGTTGCATCAGTTCTGTTGAACATGTTAAGTATACATTCAATAAACAAGAATTCAATGATCAGTTTGGTGCTTCTCTCTCTCTCCACCTGCCCATATTACTTCTTTAGAATTGTAGTTCTGTCTCCTCACTTTATTGTGTGGTTTTGTGTTGGTGCATGTATGGTGATTTCTAAGTTTTTCTCTAGGCTATTCAACTTCGTGACGTCAGTCATATTGTATACTTAACTAAATTCCTAATCTACATTTAGTCCCACCTAATAATGACGAACGGTTTCATTCTGTGTACTAAACCTTCTGTAGACTTCTTAATCTAATTTAACACTGAATCTATAGGCTTCTTAATTTCCTCGTATTGCTGCGTTTTGATTTTCACCGATATACCTGGATTTATTCATAACAATTGTTCACCTCTCTATCTCAACTTCATCGACTTTGAAAAGGCCTTCAATAGCGTCGATCGAGAGGTGATTTGGCCACTACTTCGCTACTAACAAGGGGTGCCACCGACAATTATACATATCATCCAACAGTTGTACGACAGTGGTGCATGCCAAGTACTCCACAACGGGAAACTTACGGAATCCTTCAAAGTAAAGACGGGAGTAAGACGAGCTGGCTGCCCACTATCGCAAATGATTTTCCTGATTGCAGTAGATTGGATAATGCGACAGACAGCCGGCCGGGCAATGAGGAAACAGGCATAAAATGGACCCACACAAAAAACGTGGAGGATTTGGATTTCGCCGGTGATATATGTCTGATTTCCCACAAACTGGAAAATATGCAAGTGAAAAGCAACAAGTTGGGAGAAGAAGCATCCACAGAAGATAGGCCTTCAGGTGAACATAGAGAAAACAGAAGTGATGAAGATTCCCGGCCAACAGCAACAACAACAGACAACAATCAGCCAGCATAAATGGGAGGAACCTGAAAGAAACAACCTCCTCCATCTACCAACCTGGGAAGCATCCTTTCAACTACACTTGAGCGGAACTGACGAGGATATCAAAACCAGAATCGGAAAAGCAAGATAAGCTTTCATCACTCATAAGTCTGTGTGGAGGTCAACAGCACTCAGCATCAAAAGTAACATCCGAATTTTCAACTCCAATGTGAAGTCAGTGCTACTCACTATACGGATCAGATACTTGGCGCGTCATAAAGAGCACCTCAAACAAACTACACACCTTCATTAACAGTTGTCTTCGCTCACTACTCAAGATCAGGTGGCCGGCGAGAAAAGATCAGCAACAGGGATCTCTGGCAATGAGCGAACCAAAAAGGAACCCATTGTGAAACAAATAGGCAGAAAGAAATGGAGATGGATGGGCTCTGAGGAAACCATCAAGTGACATCATTAGAGAAGCCATTGCTCGAGTGGCACCCAAAAGGGAAGCGGCGAGTTGGTCGTCAGTGAAAGGGTTACTTGGAGGAGGCCATGTGAAGAGGAGACAAAAGCATGTGTGCAGACTTGGATTCAGGTGAAAACTCTAGCAGAGAACCGAACGCAGTGGAGAAGTGCGGCTGAAGCCCTATGTCCCTCTAGGAAATAATAATATGATAATAACTGTTCGACCACCATTATCAGCTTTTGCAGTGATTATGCTTCTTATCATTTTTTTTGAAATTTTTTGAGCCAGTGTTTCTAATTTTGTTAAATTTGACTTCAGTTTTTGTTGAGGTGTTTTAGTGCTAATGTACATTGTGCTAGGACCGTTTCAGCCTCTCTTACCTTATCAGTTGAATTCAGTGCTACCACTTTGTCTAGGAATGACATTCTCGGACTTCTGTTCGTTAACTGTCATGCTAAAGTTTGAAAATTCCTCTAGGATTTTTATATCATTATAGAGTTTAGTTCTCTTGGTAAAGGGCTGATCATTCACTTTGTTCTGTCGACAGTTGATGAAGCTTTATTGACAAGTTTATCAGATATTGTGTGTTGTCCTTTTCTTCCATTAAATTTGTTGCACTCCTTAATTTGTTTCCGTTTTTTTCAAAGCAGCTTCTCTAATTCCTTTGAATGTTTCAACGAGTATTTAATAATCTTTGTCTTTTATCATACATTTTGAGTATCACAACTTCATTTCGTGCATCGTCTAGTTTAGCAATAATTCGATGGTTTGTAACTCAAACTTCAGCTTTACAAAGTCGCGTTAGTTTGATGATAAGATTCTTAGTAAGAAGACTATAAATTTCATTGTTAAAGGAATGTAATTTGAGCACTGTGGTAGAGTGTGATGTGCCATCATATAACTAGATTATTTGCTAAAAAGCACACAGTGATGCGGCGTTACTTGTTCATTCACTCACTAATAACGTCTGAAGTACAACTTATTCATGCTTCTAATCATATTAAGGGATACTAACATGACTTTAAAACTTTGTTACAGGTATATTATTATTACTGTTGTTCCCTTGAGTTCCTAGTGGAACATAGGGTTTCAACTGCACGTCTCCACTTACTTCTGTCTTCCTTCTGCTCTACTTTTCACCTCCATCCATCTTATTCCATACTGACTGTTTCAACTCCTCTCTCTTCACACTGTCTCCTCCATGTCACCCTTGCACTGACGTCCCACTCGCCTCTTGCTTCCCTTTCGGCCTGGTTCCACTCGACCAATGGCCTGACTCGCGCGCGATGTCACCCAGCGGCCTCCTCACCTCAGTGAGTGTCCAATCCATCTCCCTCCACTTTCTCCTGCATATTTGTTGGTTTTCGATTGGTTCTTGTTTTGCGTGTCCCCAGTCAGAGTTTCTTGTTGGTGATTCTTTCCGGCCCGTCCCGGTCATCTGATTTGATCTTCAGTATAGAGCCAGCAAAGACAGTTGTTGGTTGATAAAGGTCTGAATGCAACAGGCTGTTAGAAATATTCTTTGTCACCCGCCCGCCCGCCAATTTTCTGATCCGTAAAGAAGAACTGACTGACTCGACGTGTTGCTATTGAAAATCCGAGAGAATGTTGTTGTTGATGCTGAGTGACAGTGGGAGATTTCCAGATTGGTTGTTTCAGGTTGATGAATGTGTGCGTCTCTCGCCTTCCCGATTCTCGCTCGATTTGACATCCTCGTCCGTTCCGACTGGCTGTAGTTGAGACAATGCTCCCTAGATAAGTGATTGAATGAAGTAGCCTCATTTCAAATCCCTCCCATTGATGGTGATTGGCGCTGGATGTTGCTGTTGTTGTTGTTGTTGGTTAGTTACTTCCATAACCTCCATCTTGTTTATGTTCTCTTGGAGTCCTGTCTTTGCTGCTTCTTCGACCAGGTGTAACTCCATTCATTTCTTATCGTTTTTTTTGTTGATGGTAACATTTCCCTTATAGAATTTTGTAAATCATTTCTTTTTTAATATGAAAGCTGCATCAACCAATCAATCAATAATGAAAAAATTTTTCCCTTTCCCTCTACTTTTATTAACTAGATCCCTATTTCCAAATGAGAAACCAATGGATACTGATCAACAAAAAAGTAATAAAATAGAATGTTCATCATCATCAGAGGCTAATATAGTTGCAGCCGCTGCAGCATTGAACGCTGTACGTAGATGGTTCACCAGTAATACATCGTCCTTATCAAATAATGACAATCTGTTAAAACCTGTATGGAATGAAGGTACGAGATCAATGGGCACAGATAAAAATCCTATGAATTTAATGTGTCAGCCAAATATTCTGTCAAATACACCCTTTAACACATTATTACTTCCACCGTCAACTGTACATGTGACAGTTCCTTCACTTCAGAATGCATCACCTGTTCATCAACTGCCATCATCAACGCTTAGTTCAATGCCTAGTCATCATCATCATCATCATCAACAACAACAGCAACAGCAGCAGCCAAATCAGCAACTCCAATATCCACATCACCCGCATTATACACCATTTTTACACCGTGGACATCATAGTAGTGGATATATACCGAATTATTCAGCACCAATTCTACGTGGTGGTAAAAAACGTTCACATTCACAGTCATCAGTGAATGAATTATTTGATATATCAAGTTTAACAAGAAGTTCACAAGGTTCATTATATATTATGCAATCAATACGTGGCTCACATAGTATGGGACAAAGTGGTGAAGGATCATATGGTCATTTATCTGCTGGTAAATTACTAAAACATGTTTTATTTACTGCTTTTTTATAAAAAAAAATAGTATCTATAATGTTTGGTTGATTTAACTAAGTCAAATCGATGTTTGAAGTGTTTGGTGTTACGTTCATGCATCAGGGGGGGGGAGTCATCATTTGCTGAATTGTGTCGGGCACTTTCTGTAACGAGCAAATTTATTTGGTTATGGTCTGAAGGCAAGAAACTGATCTCTACGTTTTTACTGTATAACCAACAAAACATCATTGAGATATGCGTGAAGTGTTTCCGAACTCAGTGAAGAGACAATTTTTCTCCAGTATTGTAGCGGTCTTATTCAAAAATAATAACGTCAAACTCACATTTCAATATAACAAAAATATTCATTGAGACACCTATAGAACACAAAATAATCCAGCAAAGAATATCCTTTTCGATAAATTCCTCTTCCAGCTCTACAACTACATATATATGTTTACATACACAGAATATTCTAGACTAGTAGTTAATAACAATATTAGTGTTTTGGAAATAACATCGATTTGTAAAGTATGATCAGTGGAATTACAGTTCATTAAAAATACTTAAAATTATAATAATAATAATAAAGATATAATAGCAAATATAACATCAACTAAAATTACGAAAATTCCACAAAAATTTAGGATCATTCAAACCTAGATGGCCAAGGTAATGATAATGTTTGAACTAACTTCTTTTGGATGCATAAATCAGGCTTGTTAATATTGATCCCCACAGCCTCGGCAACATTTAGTTATCGAACTCTTAAGGCAAAATTGAGATTCGTAGGTATGCGGTAAATGACCCTGAAAGCATGGTTAACGTCAATCTTGTGTTCTGTCTCCACAAGATGAGACAGAATAGCGCTGCGAATAGATTTTGTTTGTCCTTTACTTAACCACTATGGAGGGTGATGTTCGGAAATTCGACGAGAAACACACCTAATTGTAAGGCCTAAGAAACTAGCTCCACAGGAGCAGTGAAATTGGTAAATACACATGGAAGAGGCGAAATTAGGGAGTTTGTCTTTTTTTCCTGAATGCAGAAGAGGAGTGGTTTTAAAGATACAGCGTAATTCAGCAGTAGGGAATGCTTGTTTATCGCATTCCCAACGGGTTGTATTAGTATCTCGCTGATGTTATTGCCGAAGAACTGAATTTGTAAGAATAAGGCCTTTTTAGGAACTGTTGGTACCTTGGGTTGCTTTGGTTTTAGATTCAAATTCTTATCAATAAACTTTTCCGCATAGCCATTTTCATTTATCAACCGTTTAATATTAATAAGTTCCTCATCAAGACATTCATCAGAGCGAATTGCTCTTGCTCTGTGAACCAAACACCTTATCAGATTGCATTTGTATTTCAAGGAGACGAAGCTGAGAAAATGAATATACTGACCAGTTAGTTGATGTAGGTTTTCTATATACACTTCTTTTTATTGTGCCATCCTCTTTTCTGGTCATAAGGAGGTCTAGAAATGAAATCCTAGAGTCTTTTTCTTTCTCAGTAGTAAAATTTATTGGAGGATGAACCTCATTAAATTTATCCAGGATGTTCTTTGCTTCCTTCTCGTTTTTCATAATCAAAAATGTATCATCCATGTACCGACAGTAGAATTCAAGTTTATTATTAACATCCTTCAAAAGCCCATTTCCTAGTTTCGCAAAGAAAAATGTCGGCTAGAATGGGTCCTAGTGGTGACCCCGTTGCCGCACCGTCAATCTGTCTGTATAGCTCCTTATTAAATAAAAAGTGAACATTCATTGTGCATTTCAATAGAAGCTCTTTTATAAAAGATATAGAAATGCCTACATCGATGTTTTGTCTTTTGAGTTCTTCGCGAACAAAGTCCACTGTTTCCATGAGTGGTACATTGATGAATAAGGATGATATGTCAAATGATATCATGAATTTATTGTCAACATCTAAATCTCTTATCCTTTCAACAAATCCAAAAGTATCCTTTACAGCACTGTGTTTCATCAACTCGGTATGATGAGGCTGTAAAAGTTCGACTAACCATTTGGCTACGGGATGGTATGGTGAATTTAGCATATCTAATACTGGCCACCGAAGCAGTACACCATTTTTGTGCACTTTAGACAAGCCATATAGTCTTGGTGTGAACGTTCCAGTGGGTTTAAATGATGTGTACTGACTCTGTGAGATGTAGCCTTGTTGTTTGAGTCTTTTCAATGTTCCCGGTAACTGTTTCGCTATCTTTTCAATTGGATCCAGAGAAGAGGTTGCTTAACATGCAACAATTAGTGTAAGACAAGATTAGTTAATCAAAGTTCAACTGTAAAAGGTACCTTATAATCGAGAAGAATATTCCCAACGGGAAGGGATCAAAAGTCCTGTCCACAAGAAACACACACCAAGGCTTCTCGCTGACAGTCTTGGATCGGAATGATCTTCATTCACTCGAACAGACTCATGTCGTTAAGCAGTACTTTGTCAATTTACGCAACTATAAATAAATATTACAACCAATGGTTATACAAGGACGAAGCCAAATAATAAAGGTCAAAAATCAACATGTGATATGCGAGTGCCAAATTAACTGATAAACAGTCTAGGGGAAATACATAAGACAGAGTTGATTGAAATGTCGAAATAAGTATAAATATTATAGATAGGTCGTCCAGGAAGGATTTTCTAAACTGTTGGTCCATTACGCTTTTGTCTGACAGATGCAGGGTAAGACGAAATAAGCCTTTCCGACTCTAGGGCTAACCGCCACCAAGTAGATAAAATTATTAGAATGAAAATTTATACAGGGAGGCTTTAGCTTAGCCGTCAGCAGTTGGACATTATTATTACGATTATTCTTTGGAACACAGGGAATCAGCATAACATTTCTATTTCATCAAGTCCTCTACATACTTCTGTGTGGATCTACATTTGTGCATAAGTTTACATTTCTTCCCCACACTGTCTCCTCGATTACACCCATCGAACCATGCTCAACTCATCGTTTCCCACACGCGTTCCACTAGAAGTCCTAGTGCACCTGATGTCACTCAACGATCTCTACAGCATGGTTATTTCGCTGCACTGCTAGGTTCCCTTGTTGCTAATCCTTTTTGGATAGTCCTCTGATCATCAGTATCGAGTGAAAAAGGAAGATGTTGCTGAAAGTCTGTATCTTTACTGAACAAAAGTTGAGTAGTCAGGTGATATTTCAATGGATTATTCAAATGTAAATGGAGTTCACAACTTCATACATGGATTACCCAGGGACTGAACCTTTATAACTTTTCATTTCAAATGGACACATATCAAATATCATATCCAATAAGATATAACCATAATTTAGAGAAGCTGAAGCTCCTTTCTCCCCTCAGTTAATACTGAAAACAGAAAGATTACGTGAAGAAATATTTACTTTTCAAAACAATGGATACTGAACAAAGAGTACTCTTTCTAATAACCCGTTCATCATCAGGCTCTACAGTTACACATACATTATAGTGAATGAATGAATTAGTGTTATTATTATATCCTTTAATTCCTAGAGGAACATAGGGCTTCAGCTGCGCATCTCCATTGCCAACTTTTTCTTTCCTCTACAAGCCTGCCCACATGCTTTCATCTCCTCTTCACATGACCTCCTCCATGTCACCCTCGCACTGACGACCAACTCGCCGCTTCCCTTTCGGCCTTGTTCCACTCGAGCAATGGCTTGTCTAGTGATGTCACTTGATGGTTTCCTCAGAGTTTGGCCAGCCAGTCCATCTCCATTTCTTCCTGTCTATTTGTTGGACAATCGGTTCCTGGTTGGTTCGCTCATTGCCAGAGATCACTGTTGCTGATCTTTTCTCGCCGGTCATCTGATCTTGAGTAGTGAGCGAAGACAAATGTTGATGAAGGTCTGTAGTTTGTTTTAGGTGCTCTTCATGACGCGCAGTGCAAGTCTCTGATCCGTATATTAGCACTGATTTCACATTATAATTGAAAATCCGGATCTTATTTTTTTATTGGTTATTGTAATGACTAATATCGAATTGTGCAATCTACACATTAAAAATCCCTGATATTATATTCGCTTCTTATATGTTGGTTTGTGAGGAGATCTACATAAAAATTAATCTAAATTCCTATGAAACTCATAATCTGAACATCGATCTCCACCTCGTTTGGGGCTTTAGGGTGTGTCTCCAAGTTGTAATACGAAGTCGTGACCAGCACCGGTTCACTGTGTTGAGATTTAAGTGAATGATCAGTGTGGTACTGATTGACAGTGGCGCTATGTCACGAACTGACAGATTTTAGAATTCGATGATCGATGAGCTGGCCTGGTAACCTGGAGGTCTCGGGGTACGGGAATGTGGGAAACCACTGATGAAGAGCACCAAAAAGGGGCGGGACAGATGTTCAGTGCTTCTCGATCTCCAGTGTCATTATCATACTGATTTTGGTTCCTGACGGAATCTACATCCAATCCAATTTCCTAAAAATTCCCTTAATCTGGATACTTGGAAATAGTCCTCAGATTCCCGATTCTATTCTAACCAGAATAATTTTTGACATTCACATCGCTTTTTTAAGTTTATTTTTTTTTTTACATATTTCCTCAATTAATTTACGAGAATGTGGAGGGGCTTTACTAAGTAATCGTTTTGTTTTACAATTACTTTCTATATTTTAGCCTCCCTTGGTGCTAGTCCTGCAGCCTCATGTGATATTCGTCGTACACTTAGCAGTAGTAATGGTAATTCAGCGCATACAGCTCCACCAACTTCATTCAGTGATAGATCACCTTTCTGGTCGCCTAATTCACCTCATTCAATAGGCAGTGGAAATGGTGCTATTGGATTCGACAATTATCAAATAAATTCGCATAAATCCCTTCCCTTACCGCATGTTTTACAGTCATATCATCAACAGAATTCAGGACGTACGTCTACAAGTGGTGGTAGTAATCGTTCCACGGGGAGTAGTTTAAATCGGGCTCCATTTGGACATTTGGCAGTTTTATCCTCATCGAATACATTGAATAAACAACTACAGCAGCAGCAATCATTAGATTCCAGTGCTTTATTCAACTGTTCAATGGATCCTATGAAGTCTTTATCAAGTAATCCTTCTCATTTAATGACACCATCATGTAGAGCATTGACGTTATCCAATAGTGGTAGTAATAATAATAATAATGCTACCGCTAATAATAATAATAATGTATTACAATCAGCTATGGCTTTTGCAGCAGTCGCAGCCGCGGCGGCTGTCGGCTCATCTACTTCTCCGTTTATGAATATTACAGAAAGAGAAAATACTTCGTCGTCAATGGATAAATTTATATCAGAAAATAATTTTCAACGAGAATGTCTCAGTAATGATAATAATAACAATAATAACCTACCTCAAACTCAGTCTAGTGGATGTGAGCTGTCATGTACACCAGTAACGCTTCCTAGCAATGGTAATAATCCTGTAGGTGTATACGGATCAGTCAATTCTATGTGTAATAATCTAATTTCATCCTGCTTTACAAAACCGTCAATTTCTTTAGCCAACGCTACTACTAATACTAATAATAATAATAACATATTATCAAACAGTACTTGTTCAGGTAACTATGGAAATATCTCCCCAAATAAACTAATGAGTTATGATGATGTTTACATGGATGTAGTGAATAAAGAAAGTAATCAACATAGTGCAGTGAGAAAGCATTCCTTTACCTCCTCTCCCCCTTTGCCACCTGCTCCACCTCCACTACATCTTACTCCACTTTCACATCCTTTATTACCGTCATCTTATCAGTCGTCTACTGCCCTCAGCAATCAAACCAATCATATCAGTTTGAGTAATACTAACAAAATGAATACAACTCATGCTAATAGTAATAGTAATAATAATAATGTTAATATCCCCTCACCATTTATGTATCCTTTACATTGGCCTTTTGAATCTGCATCAACACCTGAATGGCCATATAAATGGTTAAATAATAATACCAACAATGTGAAATCTTCATCTAAATCCAATGAAACTACTACTAATACACGAAAAAATGGACGCTTAAAAACAAATCAAATGGATTTATGCTCAACATTATCAAGAACTGATATGTCGAAATTAACCCAGAATGAAAATAACACTAGTAATCATCATAACTATTTAATGAGTGATACAAATAATCTTCAATGTCCAACACTAACAAAAGATCTTTTAAAACAACACTGTTCCGTTAATAATAACTTAGGTAATAGTAATAATAATAATAATCCTAATATTGGGAATAACATTTTTCCACAATATCATCAACAAAGTATGGGAAGAAGACTTAGCGATCATTCGTCGAATCATATGCGTAGTGTTAAAAGTTCTAATCGTGGATGTAGAACGACGACAACAATAACAACGGTAGGAGCAGCAACTGCATCTTCATCATCGTCAATAGCAACGCCAACACTGTTTAAACAAGAAACAATTGGACATTCAACAAAATGGCAAAGTCAAGATGTAGTAGTTATGAATCGTCGAAATTCAACACGTGATTCTAGTAGTCATAATGATAATAATAATAATAATGGTGGAGGTGGACATTGTTCAGTTGATGAACCTGAAGGAGATGAAGATGAAGAACTGGATGATGATGGACGTGTTCCACAGGAAGGTGATCCAGATTTTGTTGAGACAACATGTCGATGGGGTGATTGTACGCTACAATTCGATGATCAAGATGAACTTGTGAAAGTAAGTTAGTGTTTTTTCTTTCTTGGCTGTGTTAATTTTACTCAAATCAGAGGGTGAATATTATTGTTACATAGAGGTATGTAGCTGATCTGGTATCAAGGAGATGCCCATCTGACCTTCGAAATTACAAGCTATATCTATTGGTATATCCTTCATTGTCTTTACTACTAAGATATTGCCAGTTTGCATGTACTGGTGGCTGTTAGCCTTCACAGACGCGTTTCTTGCACTTGATATTTTATTTACATTCATATTCCGGCAGCTGTGAATCGTGTTATGTAGGATTGTCATGTTTCAATTTCCTCAGTGACCACAGAGTACAATGAGTTCCGGACAATTTGATTATTTTTTTTTCGATTACAGCTTGATCCCACACTATATTTTTGGTACAAGTATGGAATTTTCAGCATGGATATCGGTAGCCCAAATTTTGCAGGCCAACCATAGATATCAGGTGTGCGTCGGCAGGGGATCGAACCTCGGACCATGTGCATGGTCGGCGAGAGTCCTAACCACTGTGCCACCGACGCCGTGTGGTGCTTTTATAACAGTTAACCTGCCCTCAAATCTATCAGCTGACACAAACTTATGTAAACTTGATGTTCTTTCAGCCAGTAAAAACCTATTGCGCACATGGAATCCCAATGACTGTCTGCTTCCAGACATATTGCTTGGTAATATTTTTGTTTAGGACACGTGGTTGCTAGTGTATGGAGCGATGATACTTTGAAATCATAGGGAAAAATAAAAAGATGGTTAAAACAGCGAAAATTTTTCTTTTCAACGAATTTATCAACTAGGCTGCTTATTCGTGAATATATATATAAGACAAAGGGTGAAGAGGTTGCGGAACTATTCTCCATCAAATATCAAAATATAACCAATAACAAAATGAAATTATATATATTACAAATTCGAAATGAAATGTAATCATGAGAAAAGTTAACATGAATTCAGCATAAAAACGTAACCAGATAGTAGTTATTAATTGTTGTTGGGAAAATGATTTCTTTATGATAGCCATGGTGGTTCGGGGTTCGATCCCTGGCCGACGTACTCCTTTACCTCTCTAAGCTCTGAGCCACTGCTGCCGAAACTTCAAGCCTTTAGCTTGAAGACCTACGTTTCGCTGGGAGTGTAAAGGAATAAAATAATGAAAATAGTAGTAATGATAAAGACAAAGGTTGAACTTACTTCTTTCGAATATAAAGCGTCTGCCTAAATTTCTGGATGAATAATGTTTCAGTTCTGTGTAATTGTCTTTATCTCACTTCTTTTGAGAGGTTTAATCACATGTTGTGTAGGACTTTGAAGAGTTTCTCAAATGGTACTTGGTGTTCTGAGTTCACCAGATGTTCTGTTATCAAAGTAAAGACGCACTTCTACCCTACCTTTGCTAACCAAACCGGATAATGTTCTTGAACGCGTCCCTCACCACATAGATGAAAAAAAAACTTGAAACCGATAGTTTGAAAGCCTAAGCACACTATCGGAAATTAAAAAATTAAAGAAAGAGGATACTTACTACACCCTTTTATAACGGGTTCATTGCAATAAGTCGATTTTATTACTTAGCTTTAATTAAAGAAGAGTATAATGTTTCTAAAGCTGAATGAAGATATCTGCATGGCACAACATAATGCTGCTTGATGTGAGTGCTATACATCTACTCATGTCACTCGGTCCTTAGTAGATATTGTCATGTATTGTATGCTTACCTTCTTGATTGCCTTTTATAGTGTCAAGCAGATCACACGTTGTGGTCTGAAACTATGATGAAATTTAACCTGGAAGTCTGTTAAGAGCGAATTGGAAATTTGAATTTCGGTGGAAAATATTGTCTTTTAGTCTTAGAATTATAAGATTCTTTTGAAAATAGCTAGACGGTTGACTGGTAGATTGACTTAATTAATTCCTCGACATAAAAATTCACTCTGATATTTCATCAGTTTCAATACCTATTTGTGAACTTTCATAATATTTCCTTGATGTTTTTTGATATATATAGTTTAACTACTCATGAGTATACACAATTTTGTCTCAAAATAACTGCGCATATATCTTTTCAATTTTAGCATCTTAGCAATGAACATATAGCAGGAAATAAAAAGAGTTTTATTTGCTTATGGCGTGAATGCGTTCGTGGAACTAGACCATTCAAAGCTCAATACATGCTTGTTGTACATATGCGAAGACATACAGGAGAGAAACCGCATAAATGTATAGTAAGTTTATAATTATTTATTGTATAAAAATATAATTATACTGTTACTTGGATTGAAAATGATATAAAATATTTTTAACTCATGAATGTAACAAGACAACAGAAGAGGAATTGGAATATTTTAGACACATTAGAATAAGTTGTCAGGAGAAACAGTGTAGAGAGGATTTTAATGAGACATTTAGAGAACAGAGTTGTGGAAATCTACTGCACTCAGACCAGCGAGCGAGATCCTAATTTTTAACACTATTATCAAGCCACCGTTTCCATAAGGTTCAGAGAATTACTACTTCACCAAAAGCATTTACAACAGGTTTTAGGATTTTATCATCAGCTACCTTCGCTTCATATTGAAGATCAGATAGCCTGCATCAAAGCAATCAGTAACAAGGTACCCTATCAGCTAACAAGCCAATTGTTAATAATAATAATAACAACTTTATTCCAAACGGTATTTGTGGTACAGGTATGGAATTTTCAGCGTGCATTAGAATACATTGCATTTAATTACCTCATAAATTTTACAAGATTTTTAAAATCAAAAAAATAAAGAAATAAAGAAAACCAACGCCAAAAAAATAAAAGATAAATAAAAATTAAAAACAGCGTAGAGTTTACATTTCAAACAATGCACCACAGGATATGAAATATAAAGTTGATGTGTGATAGAAGATGAGAACAACAGTGTAATAGTAACGAAGAAAGGAAAACAAAAACTAATGGGACTATTTGTTAGAGTGCCGCAGTAAGTTTACCGTGTCATACCTAACGGATTTCTCATTACATAACAGCTATGCCAGATATGGTATTGTGGAGTTTCTCTACTTGGTAGTCCTAGCCAGCCTCCTATATCTGCTCCTAGTTCCACCAGATGAAATGCAAGCAGACAGCTGCGTATAGAGAGGATGCTCGGGGTCCGACAATATTGTATTCGCTAGTTTCTTACATGACATTATTATATGTCTATCCACAATAGTGTTAACCAGTTAATAGTTAACGATATCCCACTTGCCCTACTAACAGCTTTTAGTGCTTGCCCTTCTCAGCAAAGCAAAGTCTTTCTTAAGTAGTCCAGGAAAGATTAATGGGGAGCAGTAAAAGGGGATGGGTAGAATACAAGAATTGACAAACTGAGAAAGCAAAGACTGCTTATGCCAGATTGACTAAATTTCCTAATGTAGAACGTTAAGCGAAACATCTTTCTAGTAACTAGCAAGATGTGCGAGGACCAGTAAAGATCGGTGGAAAAACTCAACCCAAGGTACTTGACATTAGGTGCATTTTCAACCTCAATGCCGCCAATGATAGTGGGGCCATGTGAGCTAGCTAGTTGTTGTAGGTCACATTTACGTCTGAAAGTGAAATTGACTACCTGACATTTAGACTGATTAAGCTTAACTCCGTTTGAAGAGGACCACTGACTAATTTCCGACAGAAAGTTATTTACTTTGCAACAATCTGACTGAGAGTTGACAGGCATAGAAACAGAGAGGTCATCAGCATACTTAACAAAAGTGGCTACATCAGAATGAGGCAAGTCATGTAAGAAAATCGAAAACAGAAAGGGAGAAGGAACAGCACCTTGAGGAACACCAGATAAAGTAAGTCAGGTAGTGGAGGATTTTCCATTGTAGACGGTGTACTGCTTCCTTTCAGAAAAATAAGAATGCAACCACTTATTTGTCTAGCTTTCAGCCTGTGTTGCAGCAAGCTTACTTAACCTGTTATGGCAAAAATATGTCGAAAGAAATGAAGATGGACTGGATATATTTTGAGGAAACCCCTTGAGTGACATCAGACACCGTGTGGATGTTGGATCTTGGTCAAATTGTGTTTTACTTTGACATTTCTATTCAAAAAAATTTATATTCCACTTGTATGTGTGTAGTATTTCCACTGTAAGGTGTTCCCTAGGATTTTTAAAATATATTCTGAATGTTTAACTGATGGGTGGTGGATGACTAGCAGTGCAATCCAGGATGCGTATTTCGTCCTATTTAGCACTCGTCACCCACTGGATGTACCTGAATTCCCCAATTAGTGATGATGTTCCCACCGAGGTTCGAACCTAGTGCCCATAGTTTCAAACGCCAAAGCGTTTACCACTAGACAAGTTGGTCCACAAGAGCCACCACCTCTTGTGCAACGGGTCACATTAATTATTTAAATGAATTCTGAATTTTCCCATCGACTGATTTGACTGAAGTACTCGGTCTCAGGTTGACATAACGGTTGGCTTCTTGTGCAGACCAGTCCGAAATAGGACAAAATGCGCATTATTCTGTATTCCACTGCTACTCACCATCTACCAATTAACTTCTAATTACACGTGCCCAGACATCGTCAAAGCATCATCAATGGACAGGAAAATGTAAAATTCAATTAAATAAATATTCTGAATGATTTCAATGTAATGAAAGTTGATTCTGTGGCCTGTAATATAAGCATGTAGACCTATGAATTTCTGTGCGGTCAAGTAAAGGGTTCTAAGGTGTTCATTTCTCCGCATATTTATTTCGCAGCAATAATAATCGATCAGTGTAGGTATTACATCCACTCCTGAGCATTTTATTCCACATTTAACATTGAATTGCTTTTAATTCATTGGAAGATGAAAAATTATCATACTAGTGAACATAATATATCCCATTTTTGAAACTATTTAATCTGATTCTAATTTTTAAAATTGATACCGATAAGGATGTTGTCTAGGAAAAAAAAGTAAAGAATGTTTCAAAGTTAAACCGTCCACTGTCTAGAGAAAACAAGAACACCAAATATTTAAATGTATATTGTTATGAGAGTAAGCGAATATTCATCAACCTTATTCAACAGCTCTATGACAACGCCACATGTCAAGTGATCCACAACGGAAAACCCACTCAGCGAGGCGTTTGGATTAAACACAGAAGTCAGACAAGGGTGCTTATTATCACCAGTGAATGATATTCCTAATTGTGGTGGACTGGAATATGCGTCAGACAAGGAGTGGGAAACGAGAAACAGAACAGGGATATCCTGGACCGACGTGAAGAACCTAGAACCTAGACTTGGATTTCGTGCGTGGATAATTTATGTTTGATGTCACACAAAATCGAAGACTTACAAGCGAAAACCGACCGATAAACTGGTTGAAGAAGCAGCCGGCGAAGACAGAACTCCGGGTGAACATAGACAAGACGGAGGTCATGAAAATAACCAACCAACCAACCAACAACAACGGCAGGAACATCCAGCGCCAATCACCATCAACGGGAGGGATTTGAAATGAGGCTACTTCATTCACTCACTCACTTATCTAGGGAGCATTGTCTCAACTACAGCCAGTCGGAACGGACGAGGATGTCAAATCGAGCGAGAATCGGGAAGGCGAGACACGCACACATTCATCAACCTGAAACAACCAATCTGGAAATCTTCCGCTGTCACTCAGCATCAACAACAACATTCTCTCGGATTTTCAATAGAAACACGTCGAGTCAGTCAGTTCTTCTTTACGGATCAGAAAATTGGCGGACGGGCGGGTGACAAAGAATATTTCTAACAGCCTGTTGCAGACTTTTATCAAACAACTACTGTCCTCGCTGGCTCTATACTGAAGATGAGATTGCTTGGCCGGAAAGAATCATCAACTATGGGAAACTATGGAAAGAAACAAAACAAGAACAAACCAATCGCCCAACAAATATGCAGGAGAAAGTGGAGATTGATTCAACACTCGCTCGCTGAGTAGGCGGCTGGTCGACATCGAGCTTGCGTCAGGATCGAGTGGAACCAGGCCAAAATGAAGGCGGCGAGTGGGACGTCAGTGCAAGGGTGACATGAAGAGAAGGTGTGAAGAGGAGCTGAAACAGTATGAACTAAGATGGATGCAGGTGAAAAGTACAGCAGGAGACAAAAGCTAGTGGAGACGAGCAGTTGAAGCCCTATGTTCCACCAGGAACCCAAGGGAACAATAATAATATTAATAAATGGGAGTAAGAGAACAACAGTTCTGCGAGGAGACTCTTCTTGGCTAATTCATTCACTCAGCTGTACAATGGAATATATACATATATATATATATATATATATATATATATATATATATATAATATAACATCATTAGCTTTTTTATATATGTGTAAATTCAGTCTGCAAAACATAGTAATAAGAATAAATTATTGCGGCGTATTGCCTACATTACCAGAATATTTCAAAACAGTGAAGAATAGTCAAATTGTAACTAGGATGTGTATGTGGGAGGGTGAATAGTAGTAAGTTTAGATTAAAGACTGTGTAATGTGTGAAACGTTCATCAAACTTACATGTAAATAAAACAACATGGAGATGAGCATCAAAATAAATTGTGTAGCATGTGAAGAAAGTGAGCAAAAGGTCAGTTGAGCAAAATAACGTTAATAAATGTCATATGGAAAATGCAAAAATTAGTACTAATAACAAAGTATTGATGACAGTTGAGCTTGGAATTATATCCAAGATATAAGGAGGCGATGAAGACGTTTCTTCTGTGTACACAAATCAGGATTTTGCATCTGAATTACTGAGGACTCAGCAAAGCCTGAAAATATTGTCCTGTTCATGATTACTCAATTACACTATTCATTTATTGCTTCTACACTAATACTGATCACTGATTACTTCTGAACCCCTTCGGAGACTACGAAAATGGATACAAATCCCTGCAAACCAACTCTTGAATATAAATCTGATTTTCACTACTGACTGGCTCTGTTCAGGTAGATAGTTACCTGGGTTCTAGTGAGAAATCGTGGTCAGAGGGCTACAGCACGTCGGGTGTGAAGACAGATACTCGTGGATCGGCAGAAGTTGGAGTTCATGGGCCGGCCACTGGATCAAGTCCTAGTGGCTAAATAGTGTACGAGGGTGCCTTGTAACTCTCAGGCCTTGGGTCTGAACGTTGACCATGATTGAATACTGTGAAGAGTGCTAAACAAGGATGAAACAGCTGTACTCCAAGCTGCTTTTCCAATGGTTCTTTAACCGATGTCAGCTCATGATGAAATCCTGGAACCAATCAAATCCAATCTATGCAAAGTAACACTCGTGTATAATATATCTACAAGTATTACGCACCTCAGAAAGTTAAGCCAACAAAAATAACTAGTTATATTGGTTACATAAACTGAGGTCTCTATGTTGTCCAATCGCATTATAATAAATATCCTGCCTCTGCCCAATGGTTCTCTCTCTCTCTCTCTCCCTCTCTCTCTCTCTATATATATATACATATAATTATTATTTCCCTTAATTCCTGGATGAACATAGGGCTTCACCTGCATGGCTCCATTGGGTTCAGTTCTCTGCCCACGTGCTTTCATCTGTTCACATCACCTCCTCCAAGTCACCCTTGGACGACCAACTCGCCGCTTCCCTTTCGGTCTTGTTTCACTCGTGGGCTTGTCTAGTGATGTCACTTGATGGTGTCCTCAGACTATGGCCAATCCATCTCCATTTCTTCCTGACTGTTTGTTGCACAATCGGTTCCTGGTTGGTTCAATCACTACCAGAGATCCCTCAACACTGCCGATCTTTTCTGACCGGCCATCTGATCTTGAGTAGTGAGCGAAGACAAATGTTGATGGAGGTCTGTAGTTTGTTTGAGGTGCTCTTCATGACGCGCAGTGCAAGTCTCTGATCCATATAGTGAGTAGCACTGACTTCCCATTGGAGTTGAAAATCCTTGATCTTATTTTTGATGCTGAGTGCTGTTGACCTCCACACAGACTTAAGAGTAATGAAAGCTTATCTTCCTTCTCCTGCTCTTGTTTTGATATCCTCGTCAGTTTCGTCTGCTTGTAGTTGAAAGGATGCTTCCCAGGTCGGTAGGTAAAGGAGGTTGTTTCTTTCAGGTTGGTCCTATTTAAGCTGATTTTTGTTTGTTGTTGTTCCTGTTGGTGTTGGGTAGGAATCTTCATCACCTCTGTTTTCTCTATGTTTAATTGGAGTCCTATCTTTGATGAATTTTCTGCTAACTTGTTGCTTTTCACTTGCATATCTTCCAGTTTGTGGGAAATCAGACATATATCATCATCGGAGTAGTCCAGATCCTCCAAGTTGTTTTTTGTGTGAGTCCATTTTATGCCTGTTTGCTCATTGCCCTTTGTCTGTCGTATTATCCAATCTACTGCAATCAGGAAAATCATTGGCGGTAGTAGGCAGCTTTGTCTTACTACCGTCTTTACTTCGAAGGATTCCGTAAGTTTCCCGTTGTGGATTACTTGGCATGCAGTATTGCCATACAACTGTTGGATGAGATGTATAATTGTCGGCGCACCCCGTAGTATATATATATATATACCCTTGTAAACTTTTTAAATAACTTATTAAAATTTTTTTATTATTTTAGTTTGAAGGTTGCACAAAACGTTATTCCCGCCTGGAAAATTTAAAAACACATCTACGATCACATACTGGAGAAAAACCGTATCAATGTGAAATTCCAGGATGTAATAAAGCCTTTAGTAATGCATCAGATAGAGCTAAACATCAAAATCGAACGCATAGTAATGAAAAACCCTATACGTGTAAAGTTGACGGTTGTTCAAAACGCTATACAGATCCTAGTTCTTTAAGAAAACATGTGAAAACAGTTCATGGGGCTGAAGTGAGTTATATATATATATATATATATATATATAGTCGATTTCTTGGGAGGCTTGTTTTATACAGTTAAATTTAATAAACACAGCTTATAAAAGACTGATTGAAATTTATCATACTAATTGAAAAGTCATGAATTTCAGAAATACATTTATTCTTGTTTATTAGATGTATCACACAGTGAAACAGTATTATTTACTGGATGAAAAAGTTTCGAACAAAATTTATTTCTGTTCATAATCATTACATCAATTGTAATTACACGACTGCGAAAATTTCGTTTCATAGTTTTCTTTGTCCTCTCCTATTCATTGTCGTAAGTAGGGCAAGTAGAAGTTTCCAGGTATCCGACTGGACAGGTGTTGAATCATTCTTATTAGATGTATTTCTAGTTGATTTGATAAATAAAGCTTCTGTTATCAATCTCTCCCTCCCTTCACCCTGGTGTTACATTAGATTTTAAAACCGTCATCTTATCCCATCCTATTGTATAGTTGTAGGTAGTTGCATGTAGTGAATGGCATAGCTGAACTATTCTCCAGATCTCCTATCTTATCTTATTTGGGTCAACCAATCTACATATTGCTAGGTTTTTATGCTCCGCTAGTCTGACTGCCCCTGTCCTACTACTTTGACTTATGTGTTTGACCTGAAAATCATTGCAGACAGTGAGTGCATTAGATAAAAGAAGCTGGTTTGTTTAATTGGCTCCACAGGATTGATCCTTTAACTGACAAAGCTTGTTTCTAATTCAGTTCGTGGGTTTAAATACCACTTTTATAGTGATAATAATGATATTAATGACGACACCAAGAAAAAGGTATCTAAATCATCAGTAGTAATTTCATACAAGGAAGAAACCTCGGAAACCCTACTCAGAATTCATAACAAGGCAGGAATGAAAGTGGCTGAAATTCAAACCCACGAACTGAATTAGAAACAAGCTTTGTCAGTTAAAGGATCAATCCTGTGGAGCCAATTAAACAAACCAGCTTCTTTTATCTAATGCACTCACTGTCTGCAATGATTTTCAGGTCAAACACATAAGTCAAAGTAGTAGGACAGGGGCAGTCAGACTAGCGGAGCATAAAAACCTAGCAATATGTAGATTGGTTGACCCAAATAAGATAAGATAGGAGATCTGGAGAATAGTTCAGCTATGCCATTCACTACATGCAACTACCTACAACTATACAATAGGATGGGATAAGATGACGGTTTTAAAATCTAATGTAACACCAGGGTGAAGGGAGGGAGAGATTGATAACAGAAGCTTTATTTATCAAATCAACTAGAAATACATCTAATAAGAATGATTCAACACCTGTCCAGTCGGATACCTGGAAACTTCTACTTGCCCTACTTACGACAATGAATAGGAGAGGACAAAGAAAACTATGAAACGAAATTTTCGCAGTCGTGTAATTACAATTGATGTAATGATTATGAACAGAAATAAATTTTGTTCGAAACTTTTTCATCCAGTAAATAATACTGTTTCACTGTGTGATACACCTAATAAACAAACCTATATGGAATTACTTACTACCTCATTCCGCAAGTTTTACGCATATATTAACTTTATTCTTGTGTTTAGTTGATTGAAGGAGATATATAAGCGGACAGTAGTGATTTCGTTTAGATCTTTCTTAGGCTTTAATCCAGTATATATATATATATATATATATATATATATATATATATATATATATATATATAATATTTTGAGGGATAACTATCGATTTGTGGATCAGAGGCAAATGTTTAAATTAACTGGTCACTAGAAAGTAATCAATATCATGATAGAGAAGAATTGTAGCTCAGGTGGATGATTTTGATGTGGTTGTGTTGTTGTGGACGTCTTAGTCAAGCGAACAACCACAGGGAATTAGAAACTCAAATTTATAGAAAATCAACTCACACAGACCAAATACTGAATTACCACAGCAACAATCCAATAACACACAAAACGAATTGCATAAAAACACTATTCAAGAGTGCCAGACATGACTCATTGCAGCACTCCCACCTTAAGGTAAATTGAAGAAAAATATCTCATGGATGTTTTACAAAAGAATGGATTTCCACGGAATTTCATCAAAAGAAATATACCCTTAAGCCAACCTATCAAACCAAAATCCCCCAAAGAAAGCACAAAGAAAATCACCTTACCATATATAAAGGATATCTCAGAAATCATTACAAGACTCTTCAAACCTTTAGGAATTGACATCAGACACAAACTAACAAAGTCACCTCACAGAACTCTGTGTCAACCAAAAGACTCAATAGCGAAAGAAGACAAAACCAACATCATCTACAAAATAAATTGTAACAACTGCGAAAAACACTACATTGGCCAAAGTGGACGCCCTCTTCGTCTTCGTATCCACGAACATAAGCTAGCCGTCAAAAGACATGATATGCATTCCTTCATACAACTCACTACATACAGACAACCACGGACATCAATTCAACTGGGACAACCAACGTTCATATATAAGACAGAGGAAACAACAAGAATGCTAGAGAATTTTTAGAAGCCAACCTTGCATTCCAGTGAATCAATCATCAATCAATAGACACATCGAGATAGACAAAATCTACCAACTGATAAGAAAGAAACCTCACACACAAAGGGTCAAAGTTCAAGCCAAAGAAATAATCAGCCCCAACACAAGTAACCTAGAAGGTGTGAAAACATACAAAAACAACCAATCACGTCCAAGGCCACCCTTCGGGAGAGATGATTAATAAACTCGTGGAGAAATCTAAAAGCTCACTTCAGCGAATTGAAGTATGCACTGAAGATTTTGCCTAGTAGTGGGGCGATGAAAGCTTGGCAAATTAACTATCCAGCTCAGAGAACACAACCACATCAAAATCAATATCATCCATCTAGTAATTGGTATCGGTGCAGACTTAATTCCATCAGTTTATTTTATCCCTATCTAATAGTGCTAATCAATTCGCTCGAATTTATTCAGTGTCTGATGTAAAGGGGAACTTAAAATCTATTATACAGTGCTTGAATAATTTTCCGATTGAAAGGGATGCTGAATTAGCTCAGTTGTAATATCTGTGACTACAACACTGGGTGATGCAGATTCAAATCCCGTACGGGTTATGAGTTTCATCAAGGTTCCAGGTACACCATGTTGACGAGTTTCAATAAGTACGAAACCCAAGTCCAGAGGCGGAGTTGCTAGCATCATAGACAACCATCCCTATTTACCGGGGTGACCACCGGCTAAGTGAGGATTAGGTTTGCGACCCCTAAGAATCGAACCCGGACCATGTGGATGGTTGTGCATTCTGTTGTCGAACCCCAACAATGCAACGTGAAAATATTGTCAAAATGTCAGTTTTAACATTCTCTAAAAGCCCTTGAGATTTAATCGTGGATTTCATCACTAACCGATATCATGTAGGGAACTTATTCTTCTAATAGTTCTTTAAATGATGTCTGTTCATGAGAGAATCTAACATGAACTCAACAAAATATCCGTTTGCAAACCAATGTCAAAAATTCCTATTTTTTTTATTCATCAGGTATATGCCAATAAGAAACATAAAGGTGAAAGTTGGAGTGATCGACCATGTGGAGGATCAAATTTTGGTAGTGGACATTTTTTCGGTAGTGGGAATGATAATTCTTCACAAGAGAAACGATCAAATGGTTCAATGCCTGGTACACGTGGAAGATTTGCACCACGTGGAATGCATGATAATAATAATAACAACAATTCAGGATTTCATCGTGGAGGTTATGCAAATCGTGAACAACGTCCATCTTCATCAAACACCAGAGATGCTTGTTTAGCATGTCTTAACAGTCCAATTCGTACAGAATCAATCAATCCTGTTGATATAAATACTGAACATACACTGGTAGATTATCAAAACTCTGAATTCCCACGATTCTCAAGACGATTCAGTACACATTTCTCGGGTAGAAATACTCCACATATGAATTGGAATTTATCTGAATTCAGCTATCAAAATGCAAATTCGAACGTGTTAATGATGACCTCTCCACCGGTAGCATATAACAATCAAAGTGATCATTATTTTACTAATCTTAAATGTGAACATTCCATTTATCCAAATTATATGGATTTTACTCGAAATATAATCGATTCCGAGGGGAATGCTAACTTGATACCATCTTGGATATCATCATCAACAGCAGCAGCTAAACCACGTGATAATCTGTATTTTCAAAGTACCGATAGTGATGGAGTAGCAGGAGTAGGCAGTGATGGGCACAAAATCGCCACTGTTCATTCAAATACTAATAATCTATCACTGACACCAAATTCTCTTCCTATCACTCCGCAGCCTGATAAGTCCTTAGAGGATTCTTATCAGTTAATAAATAGCAAACAAAAGATTGTATTTCCTACTACGATAATAAATGAAGACTATTCAATGTGTACTCCTTCTTCTTCTACTGCTCCTCTGGCTGCTACGATTACTACCACTACCCCTACTACTACTTCTACTACTACAAGACAAACGGATTATAACCAACCAATAGAATTATGCTCTTATGGCAGCTCAGATCGATCCTTAAAAGCATCAACTGTGAAATCGGAATCAACCTCGAATTGGAAATATTCGACATCATTTCACGAGATGAGTAAATGTCAACAGTATGAGAATTCATCAACTGCTTATTTTAATGAAGATGGCATAAAAAGGGTAGGTTCATTGATGAAAACAGTGGCTGTGCTTACTTAGGTAGTTTATTTTCCAGTAAAAAATTATTTATGTTGGTTATTAGAAAATAATGCCTAACCCTGGATTTGTCTCTCATATATAAATACCCGCGATAGAAAATTCATGCCTTTGATGCTGTTGGCTAGGCAAATCGAATCTCAGAGAATATTAACATCCCCAAGGTGTTACCAATCTCATATGCTTTGTTTCTAATGTTGAGACTGACTGAAATTCACCAGTTAGGTTTTCACTGTGGTCAACAGGCCAGGTGACTTGTCATTGGGATAATGTCTTTGACTGGAGCAAGGGATGGCACGATTCGGGATCTCTCTAGGGAGGGAGGGGCGTGAAGCATCGCTTCTTTTGCCTACCCTGATGACGAGTTCAGATAAGAACAAAATCTACGTTTAGGGCTTCCTATTGACTGCCTCAAATCACCTAAGACGTATTTGCTGCAGCTTGATACTAAATAAAACAAGATTGAACATAAAATATATTGAATGTTGTTCATTTTCATGTACTTGGAATTAAAGAATTCACTCCTGAATTTTATGTACTTTCCCAAAACTACTTTCATGGATAAACAATACCTACTTCCCGGACAAATAATGTTGGTATATTACCAAACTAGGAGGCATTTAAATTTCATTGGACTAAACTTCCAGTACAGTGCGCTAACACTTTCATCTTATGTGTTCATACTTGAATACAAATAAGATGCTCACTGGCGACTGGCCCTATTCAGGTAGGTAGTTACCTGGCGTTCCAGTGGGAAGTCATGACCAGTAGGTTGCACCAGGTCCGATGTAAGGACAAACACTCACCGAAGACATTGGCTAGGGGTCGCGCTATGTCGTGAATTGGCAGAAGTTGGAATGCATGCACTGGCCATTGTATCATGTCCCAGTGGCTTAATGGTATACGAGCTCTCCTTTTAACCAGAATTTCCCGGGTTCGAACCCCGGTGGGTGCGTACTGCTAAAGATTCCCAGACTAGGACAAAAGAGCTGCCCAATGGTTCTCTAACCAATGTCAGCCTATGATGAAATCCTGTAACATTCAACTTGTGTCACAAAAAACGAGAAATGTAATAATATTATTAATAACTTTATTTCAAACAATATTTCTGTTACAGTGTGAAACTGTTTCTTATCTTAGCTGTAGAGATATAAGGTGAAGGCTGTGAATAGTTATGGTATTGACCGTAGAAAAGTGGTAATCAACGCAGAGATCTTCGAAGTTGTCTAGCAGTTATATTGTTCTTATATTTACTTCTGTATTTCCCACTGATTGGATTACATTCTGTGTCGAAATGCTCTGTTTCCGTTGACATATGAACTCGTAGCATGGATGCCTCGACAATGACGTTACTTGGTTGGTGGTGGCTAACACTAAAATACAGGACGTACCGTTCATCCACCATCTTTGACTCATCATCTGGATGTACCTTCACCTCGGGTGATTTATAGGTCTCATACAGTACGCTATCACTTAGATTTTTTTTAGATTTACAGCTTGATTCCACACTGTATTTTTGGTACAAGTATGGAATTTTCAGCATGGATATCGGTAGTCCAAATTTCGCAGGCCGACCATAGATATCAGGTGTGCGCCGGCGTGGGCTCGAACCCCGGACCATGTGCATGGTCGGCGAGAGTCCTAACCACTGTTCAGGTGCATTCAGCTGACGATTCATGAATGGGATGAAATTAACCTCCTTAATTCTACTGCTGGCAATCAACAATCAAATAAAATCAGCATATTCATTTCAAGTGAATTTTATTTTAAAAGTTGCTTCTCATGAAAATTTGAATTCCCTCTTTAAATCTTATGAATAATTATTCAATATTCAATTATCTAATTTTTATATCTTTTTCTTTAAAAAAAACAAACAGCAAACAACTGTCAACTTGCCAATTTCTTCAGAATATCATTCGAATTCTCACTTAAAGTTGAAATCAAATGATGATCAAATGTTACTTCATTTAAACAAACCAGCCATTGACAATGAACATTTGAATGAAATGTCAACTGCAACAAATTGTTTTGATTTGCCGAAAAAATGGAAAATTGAAGATACAATGATGCCGCTTAAAAATAATAATAATAAAATAATTCATGATAATCATAGAAAACAATTCAATGAACTGTTAGAAGAATCATCTTTAGAGGTGAATAAAATAAAGCAGATTTCGAATAGTGATAATAACCATACTACTAACAATAGTAGTACAGTAGTAAACAGTATTTATGATGAAAATATTATTGGACAGAATTCTCAAAACTGTGAAATGGACTGTTCAACTCCTCTTGGTGTCATACATGAGAATTGTTTAATGACTGGTAAGATTTATTTTTGAAAATTTTAGTTTTTTGAAAGCTTTTCACCAATTACTAAATGTAAGTCATGCAGTCATCAAACGTTAGTGTCGAGGCTCATCAGACTGGCTAGTGATAATTATATATGTGCTTTGAATTTTCTGTAGTGATTGGATTAATTCTCCATGACAGGTTTATTGGCTCAACGTTTAATCACCCTTTTGTACCAGGCCTTGAACTTTCTATTGAACTAAGCGATATTTGGTGCAACACGGAAAGCATATCCAACAGGGTACTGTAGACTTAAATCAACAGCTGTCTTCGCTCTATACTAATGATCAGAAAGAATAAGCAACACGGAACTCTGGTAGTACAAAAACACCAAGCAAGAAAATGTCATCCAAAAAGTATACAGAAGAAAACGATGATGAACATACCTTGAGAAAACCATTTTAGACATCACTTTCCAGAATCGCTCTTCAATGGGACGCGAATGGTAAGCGATGAGTTCGGGGAGGGAGTGTCTTAGGGTGAGAATGAAGAGCTCGTTTGTGAAAGAAGTGAAAGCCTGTGGGCGATTGTAGAACCAACTAAAGGAAGACGGCTGGGAACAGGATGAAACGGAGGTCTGTTGGTGAAGCCCTATGTTCTACTTGGAGCAAAAGGAAATATAATTAAAAATATTTTCTATAGTTTGGTTTGTAAGGGTTAGTTTTGTTTTTACGAGTTGATCACGGATTGATATCAGTTAGAGAACCATTGAAAACCAGGGAGTACTGGACAGCTGATTCATCTTAGTTTTGGGAATCATCGGAAGTACGCACCCACCACCAAGGTTCTAACCCAGGACCCTCAGGTTAAAACGCAAGCTCGTGTACCAGCCTAATGTGAGGATGGATGTCCCACCGATGACATTTTTGGGGTCGCGCTAAATCACGAATTGGTAGAGGTAAGAATTCATGAGCTGGCCATTGAGGAATCGACTCCCATTGGCTGAATGGAATACAAGGCAGCTTGCCTTGCAACCGGGAGGTCGTGGGTTCGAACCTCGGGAGTGGGTGCGCACTTTCGATGATTCCCAAAACTAAGATGAAACAGCAGCTGTCCAGTACTCCCTGGTTTTCAATGGTTCTCTAACTGAAATCAATCCGTGATCAATTCGTAGAGATAAAAATATAATAATTAATACACCAACCAGTAAATCATACAATTAACATCTGACTGGTAGTTAACATTTATAACCAAATTGGTAATAGGGCAGTTCCACTTCAGTCGAGGAGTATGTTTACATTTAAATTCTTGTCATACCTACACTATGTCAGGTAGCTAAGGTTAAATGTTATTAGGATAATATACGTCCCACAGTGTGTTCGGTTGAAAATCGAAGTAATAGTTAAGGCCAGTTAAAAATACTGTGGTTAGTGTCGACGAGGTTCTCGGTCATCTCACTCCTAATTTCTCCACTAATGTCTGATTCCCAGAAAAGCAGAAAAGTGTGGTCTAACTTAAAGCTCACCCACGGTGTTCACAGGAACATCTTAGAGGTATAACAGATGTGAGAAGTTAGATACCCTAGCTAGTCTTGTAAGTTAGTGGAAAACCTTGGGAAGAAAGTGTAACCATAGGGCTCCATTTTCAAGGCCAGAAATATTGGTGAGTAACCCTTCTCAGTCAATACTTTCTTGGAGAGTACGGCCAGCATTCTTTTTCAGCTGATGATTACTTAAACTTAACTCCAATGTAGATGTGACGAACCGATATCGGTTAGAGAACTATTTAAAGTTATAAAGGATTTGAGACCTTTCCCATCCTAGTTTGATAATCTTCGTCGACTAGACTGGGTAGTGGACCTGAAAACCTCAGATTCAAAGGTGAGCCTTTTGACTTTTTAGATGTCGTGTCGGAATCCAATAACCCTAAGAATCCAAACTCTTTAATTCTCTATACGGTGCCACTGATCATCGATGCCACTGACAGGTATCCGTTTAACACTCAACATAGGGATCTTCAGCGGCCATGAGTTGAAAATTGGAACAAAATCTGTAGTTTACAATGCTCCATGGTTTTTAAAGGTTCCTTTAATGATGTCGTTTCGTGAAGATATTTACACTGAATAATATTTATCGATTAAATGAAACAAATGTCGTTTGTGTAAATCATTTAAGTCCGATTGAAGTTCTGTAATATTTAATCATGAAAAGCGAGACAAACCTTCATTAATCTGAAATCAACGTGGAAATCTGCTGCATTCAGTATATGGCACAAGATTCAGATTTTCAACAACAGTTCTGAGCCAGTGCTTCTTTAACGGGCCTGAGATTTGTCGCCTCATCGAAAGCATTTCCAAAAGGTTACTTCAGACCTTCAGAGACAGCTTCCTTCTCTGACTGGATACTGTAGATAAGATAACAGGCTAGAAAAGGTGAGTAACAGGGAAACTCTAACATAGCAACTAACCAAATAAGAGGCTACTATCCAGCAAATATGCCTAAGGAAATGTAAGTGCAGTGGGCAAACTCTGAGGAGACCGAGTTGAATCTGAATGGGGAATAATGAGGTGGGAATAGGCTCCAGGGCGATTGTATGTGGAGCCCACTGGAAGAGACTGCAGAGAACGGAAGAAAATATAGATGTGTTGTTGGAGTGCTATGTTCCATTCGGAGCAGAAGTGACTAATAATAATGATAACAAATGTTTTACCATCCTCAAACTTCATACCGTGATGACAGAAGACAAAGGCCAGTCAACAGATCGTTTATCGATCTCCTGATTGGTCGTCTTCTCACTGGAAGTTATTCTGTCATCTCTTTGTGGTCATTTCTTTGAAGATCCAGCTATATATCTGCTAATCGTATCCGCCCACGCAAATTCTGCTGTGACTGGTTGTTGAGTTAGTCATTGTTCTTGTCTTTTTCTAATGACCAAGATTTGGGAAGTAAACATTGACGTAAATTACTGTATACCAATTTTGACTAGCAGACAGCCCTAGCGAAGTTAAACTTTAAGCACCACTGACTACCAATCAGCGAACGACACCGAATTATCCAGTGAGATTCACGAATGCGAGCTTAATGTTGTATAGCTCTTGATTCGTTTCAAACGCGTGCCCTAACGAAGTTACGGTTGCAATTCAAGGAGGATAGTGTTTTCCAGTATCGCCTGGATTTAGGGTTGCTTTGGAAGGAGAGAATTTGATCGTGTGGTAGTGTGATGACTTTAAAAAGCTTTAACAGGTCAATTGATGGCTGTGTCCATCATTGTGCAATATGTTTGAGGCGAGTTAGTATTAGAGGAAGTAAGCTGATAATTTTGATATTTCGTAGGAACTTTTTTTGCGAGGTCACGTTTCTCCTTAACGCAAATTTTGTATATTTGCAAATACTGGGTCTTAAAACAGCCGGTGAGAGCCACAGCTGCTGAAACGGAGAATAGTTTCGTCTCAATAGTACAATGGTATCAGCATTGCAGAGACATTGCATCGTGGAAGATGAAGGAAATCACTTCTTTGTTGGGTGGAGAAGACATCCTTGTGCAAGTCGACGAAACTGTGTTGGTGAAGAAGAAATACAACCGTGGTCGACAGCGAGCCAACAATATTTAAGTAATTGTTTTGTACGATACCTCCCTCCGAAAGGGATTCGTGGATAGGATAGCAGATAGAAAAGCAACTTCTCTTATACCTGGTATTACAATACTTGTAAAACGGGATCTATAATACATACGGACGAATGGAAAGGTTACAATTCTCTGTCATCTCTTGGATAAATTCATCATAGAGTGAACCATTCAAGTGATTTTGTCGATCCCATTACGAGGACACATACAAATTCTATTGAGGGATTTTGGGGCAGGTTGAAAAATAGGATGTGGGCTATAAATGGACCTCAAAAGGATCTCATTTATAGTCGTCTGGATGAATATGTGTACAGAATGTGGTGTAACTTTTCTATCGACAGTCCTATGCTTAACTGGGAGATGTTTCTCTCACATGTTAGAGAAAGATTCCCTCCTATGTAACAGTTTTATGCTTTCTTTTATGCTATTTTTCAATAAATATACGTTTTCCTTAATCAAAAATCCCTCTTTCGTGTGACTGGTCCGTTCAAGGCCGTATGCTGATTGGTTGTTAGTGCTGCTAAAAGTTTAACTTCGCCACAGCCCTCACCACAATATTAGTTAACAATTTTCACGTTTACACAAACGGTATTCTGAAGTTTTCATCTCGGTTCTTTTTATATTTCTCGTACACAAATGAGATACATACCATTGGACTGCATACGGTATTCTTTTTTTTGTATTATTTTATTCTAGAACTTTGGGATTCAGAGAGTGCAACTGCTTCATCTGGTATTGGATCTGGTGTGACGACCAATACAGGATCAGATAATAATAATAGCAATGATCATATCCGACACAATCCCAGAAAACCTATCCATTCACATAAAAGTAATTCAAATCAGAATAACAGGCACAATAATGATAACAGTGTAAATAATGCCAGTAATCCCAACACGCATGATCAAATCCCCAAAACACCCCATAGAAATCATAATCCTAGAAGTAATAGTAGTAGTAGTGGTTTATACGAAAGCTCATTCAATACAGACATACACAATACAAATGATACTATATCCAATGCAGTCCCTTCTCAGACATACATATCCCCCTACTCTTTACAAAATAGTAACGGTTTAACGCATTCTATATGCAACTGTTTACAAGGGCAACAACAACAACAATCTCTGGGAAATCATCAACAACAAAATCACAGACAAGAAGATAATTTGCATCAGACAATTTGTCATGAACAAATTATTACTGATCCCGCTTTAATAGATATGCATACACCGTCTCAATTAGATCTAGAACAGCTCAGTTCAACAAGTTCTCAAGTAAGCAGTGGAGTTGGATCGATGAGTTCATCGAATGCTGGAAGTGGTTATAATAACGGGACTAATACAAATATAGATAAAGGGAAAACAAACATGGAAAACTCTGGTAATTTCACTAATAATAATAATTATAATGGTAATAATAATAATATTAACAATAACCTGTTACATATGAGTACTCTTCCGAGGCCAGTCCATCAAAGTGGAGATTACAATGAAGATAATGTTACTAAAATGTGGAGAAAATACCATAAACCATATCATGATTATCAGTCTGAATATAATCAATGCACAAAACTATATTCTGAAGAATTCAGTTCAAGTGTATCCAGATCAACTGTGAACAATGCTCAGTATTCAACGTCAACTTCACAGTCCACTTCCTCTTCTTCTATTCATCCATACTCACTGCCTCAGAGTCATTCTCAAAATAATCTTAATTCAATAACTCCTAATTCATTGTATAATAGACAAATGGATTTATGTTTTCCGTTGAATGCTATTTCTTCTTCCGCATATTCATCATTCACTTCAAATCGTCCTCATTCTGTTGAACTATTTTCACATGTTAATTCAGATTTGAGGGGAAGAAGAAGAGAAAGAGGGGATGCTACTGATGACCACAGAGAATATACACAGAATTTCCATCGAAATGACGATGTTATCACTGAAAGCAACAATAGTTGTAGTAGTAATATGATAATCCAAAGGGTTTCTGCGACTACAGACAGATGTCACTTAAATGAAGCATGGTTTGGGAATACTACTAGTAATAATAATAATAATAATGATAACAATAAAAGTAATAATAATAATAACAATAGTTATTGGTCAAACCCATATTACACTGACCTGGCGTACATGTCTACCCCAGATACTGGTCCCACTTGGTTAGATAAATCGATGACAACACCAGTTGCTTCTTCAACATCTTCATGTATTCCAACAGGATTTGCAGATTATAATAAGCAGACATCCTGTTATCCATTGACTTCGAATTCAATTCCGGTTAATCATAACCAAACATCACTAACCTCAACATCTATAGAGGCATCATCGTCAACTTCAACAATATCATCAGGGAAATTAAGATCATCATTACCCTTCTGGAGTGAAAACAGTCATTTGCAAGACTCAAATTTATACAATATTCACAATCCATATGTTCAGTGTAGTCAAACAATCGCCACCCCTAATGCTACTTCCATGAACAACATAAACAACAATAATAATAATAATATCAGTACGAGTGGAATAATAAGTTCTCAGAGAAATCGAAACACCGATGTCAATTATTCTTACCCGACCTTTCAGCATAATTCTTCCTCTGAATCAGAAAATCTGTCTAACCATCATAATTCTTTATTGTTGCCTTTGTCAACCGAATCGATAGCACCTACATCCTCTGCACAGAATACTCCTTATTCATCAAATCACTTAACAATGAATGAAGTTAGTCAAAGGTGTAGTGAACAAATGAACAATATAAATCCATTAAATATCCCCCCTCATCAGTTAACTGGCAATTATCAAAATTCATTTGATCAGCAAGTACAAAATATTCCTTCTGTTGTCAATAGTTCAATTCATACTTATATTAATTCATTTCACTCATCGAATTTATTGTACAGTCCTTTTTTACAATCAGTTTTTGATGAACAGACAACACCAATATCTTCATCAACACAACCACAACCACCGCCATCATCATCATCATCATCATCAGTATTCCCTTCGCCTACTACTAATCATCTTGGTCAATATGATCAATTCTTTGTAAATGCTAACCCAATTAGTAATAATTTGGTGGTATGCAGTATGTCATCTATGGATACAGATTGTATACCATTTCATTCATGCAATTAATGTGTATGATGTATACAAGTTGAAATAGAGTGTGATAAGAACAATTAATTACATTTACTAATTATCATCATTGTTTTTCATATTATTATTATTATTACCATTTTATTTATTAGTATAATTTATAATTTAATGTGAAGAAGAAGTAATACAGTCATGAACGAAACAAGAAATCACCAATACTATTCCGACTTTGTTTTCATCTTTATGCAGCCTAGTCACACAGTACAGCTGGTAGCATTTTGGTTGTATTCTATAGAACTTAATAGAAAACATAATTTTGGTGAATGTATTCTTTTGTTTTTTTGTAATAAGCTGATATAACTTACATATTTTGCATAAAAACTAACAAACAAACAGACAAAATAAGCGCCACATTTTGTTTTCATATCTGATTTTTAAATTACTTCATTAAAACAAAACAACAACTGGCAGTCTTATTTAAAGCTGATATATATATATATATATATCTTTTACAGTTTCCTTTGCACTTCTTCACTTTCCATTTCCGTAGTCTTATCATTAGTGTTTCATTGACTGTCTCATATGAAGTCGATTATTTCAAGGTGTTCATCTCTCCGGTGACCTTAACTATACTGAATATATATATGTATGTAGACACTTGGACATTGAACATACAAAATTAATTTGCGCTATTTGCTCCAAGAAAAAAAAAACAATTATGAATAATTTTCCCATCCAAAAAAGAAATTTCAAAGATTATCTTCTAAATTTTATTTCCTTTTTCCATTTGAATGACAATAAATTATGGAATTTTGTTTGATAAATGACAAAAAGAACGCGCATCAATCAGGTTGTACTATGAGTTTGTTTTAAATTATCAATGTTGACCTTGTAAAAGACAATGTACATCATTAATATTCACTCCGGTTTTCTTAAATTTAACTAAAACTCAGTTTTATGGGAGAGAGAGAGAGAAAAAGGGGGAGAAACATCAGTTCTCTTTATCACACTTAGACAAATTATTATACAATTCATCATTATTCATCATAGTAATTCTTTTCTTTGGTCATTTTTTTGAAAATTTTCTTTGAACTGGACGTGAATATATACATATATGTAATCTTATGAGCGCCAATTTTGTCGTCTAATTCAATTGAATCCTTCTTTTCAATATTTTCCTATTCTTTTAAAACATTCAATGTTCAATTGAAAAACACAATGAAAACTGAAAAGTCGATGACACTAGGTTATAATTAGATTCTTGTTTTATATAATAGTAATAGTAATAACATTATGTTGCAGACAATACTGAGTATTGTTAGCAAGTGAATAACTTTCGTTGCAATTCCTTGTATAAATGAGTAAATATTCATAAACAATATGTTGATTCTCTTTGTTAGGTTGATTTTTCTTTCTTCTTCAGATTTTCAGCCTTATTCCAGTTTTGAGAAATTTAGATGGGAGTGTCTTCGATAAATCGATTAAATGTCGGTCTTGCTCTTCATAAGAAGTACGTACTAACCTCTGAATGCAGTTCACATACATAATATTATTGCCTATATCATTATATGAATATAGCAAAGTACTATACGGCTACAATTAACGTTGTTATTAGGGTATGCTATATGACTACTCGAGTTATTTTGTGATTACTGTTCGCACCAGTTCAAAATACAACCCAATTTACGAATAAGAACTGTAATGTAGTTTGGGTGGGGGTGTTTCATAGACATATAGTATTGATTACATTAAAAAAAAACTATTCGACTAAATGGAGGTTTACAGAAGCATTAAATAACGAAAAGCATCTCTACGTATCAACTAAATGTAACTGGTGACTATTTAGGTAGGTAGAGTTAATTGCCTGGGATTTTAGTGAGAAGTCGTGACCAGTAGGGTGTAGCACGTCGTGTGTGAGGACAAATACTCGCCAGCGAAGACATTGGCTAGGGGTGGCGCTATGTCGTGAATTGACAGAAGTTAGAATTCATGGGCCATCGGACCGGGTCCCAGTGGCTTAGCGGTCTACGAGCTCGCCTTGTATTTTAATTATTTTTTTATTTTGTTTATAGCTTGGTTTCACACTGTATTTTTGGTACAAGCATGGAATTTTCAGCTTGTGATATCGGTAGCCCAATTTTGCAGACTGACCATTGATATCGGGTGTGTGTCAGGAGGGGATCGAACCTCGGACCATGTGCATGGTCAGCAGGAGTCCTAACCTCTGTGCCACCGACCAGAAGGTCTTGGATTTGAATCCCGGTGGGTTGCGTACTGATGAAGACTCCCAGACTAGGACGAAACAGCTGTCCAGTACTCCCAGGTTTTCCAATAGTTCTCTAACCAATGTCAGCTCATGATGAAATCCTGTAACCAATCAACCAATCCCCTACAAACTAACACTTGAAATGTAACTAACTGACTCAAATCCATAAATATTCTTCACTCTGTTATAACATTCAAGTTATGATGCCCGCCTAGAATCTGCTAGAGTGTCAAACAAAATTTTACTTAGAGACAGTACTTTGATTCAGACACCGAATACTGTTATTATATTTTTTACTTATTTATTTTTATTTTTTATTTATTTATCAACAGACTACAAAATTCTTATAATTACCACACGGCTCTTGAATCACATAACAGAGAATTCAACGAAGAAAATTCTCTTTTCGATGATTCCATTTTCATCACTGTACAATCACAAATATATAAAAAAACTACGATATGCAATAGAAATCAGTTTGTGCGTGTATATGAAAATGTGAAAATAAATAGAGGTCAACCTAAAGGTCAGTAGACATGTATGAAATAGATGATCGGAAAATAAAGTACATTCGGAAATATGTGAAAGTGTGAATATAATATGATGGAGACATAAGATGTGTGAAATGTTATGAAAATAGTAGCAGACTAAATAAAATGTTAGAAAATGACAACATACAGTGAAATTAAATAAAACAAAAATGGAACATAGAATAGAGAGAAATAACAAAGTTTTTTCATGGATAACATAGTGAAATCAAGACTATGGTAACAAAAGAGATCGTATAAATTGTTTTTGTACACAAAGTTCTGGCTTTATGTTATGTACTGCCAAAGCCTCTGTTGTGCAAAGCAAATGCACTCGTAGCCATTCAGCGAACTTTGTTGAGCTTTCTAGACCGTGTGGTCAGTATCTACAATATGTTGCATTATAGATGAATTGATACCGCTTCGTTCTGCTTTCCTCATCCTAGCTAAGATGTGCTCTCGAACGTGGCGGGATATATTTCTCGACAAACATCCCATGTACCTGGCTCCGCAAGAGCAGGTGAACATTTAAATACATAGGGACTTAGACAACTGAGGTAACAGATCCTGAATTTTAAGGTGCACCGGTGGACGGCTGGAGTGCGTTATTAATAAAGTGTCAGAAAAGAACGTTTTCTCGGTGGTCTTGAGTACCTCACTTTCACTGTCATCTTTAAATTTTAAGTTTAGGTGAAACATTTTCTTAGCTACCTTTTCGCTTTCTCCGTTTTTCTTGCACGTATTTCCTATTGGCTTCGACGAAGCATAGTGGATACCTGTTCTATATGAAGGTTTCTTTCAGTTGCTTAAGTTCATCGTCAACACTGTGTTCACTACAAATTCTCAGGATCCATGATCACGGTGAACTCACTCGATTCCTTTATTGTCTATGGGAATATAACTATAAAAACTGTCCACATCGATTTTCTGTTAAAAGATAACTTTTAAAGATCTGTCAGCTCACCTTGTAAGTAGAACATCAAGGGAAGATTTTTTTCCTCATTTTCTCTTTCTAAGGTGAACCGAATAACAGGATGACCGTCATCAGGGTGTCATCTAAATCGCAGTTCTCGTCCTATATAATCAAATTGTCATCCACGAATATTTTGTAAGAGTTTAGTCACTTTACAGCCGGTGTGATAGAAGTGACATTATTACTAGATAAAGAAGAGTATGCTAACCAAGCATTAAGTGATTGAACATAACACCATGAGCACTTGAAGTTAAGGGGTGAGCTGCAGTTCCGAAAGGCATGATCAAATGCGCTATTAGTGGTTAAGCAAGACCAACAATAAGTGTGAAATCGAATTCCAGGGAATCTTTCGACTAAATTTAACAAACAGAAACGAATCAAGCATCACCGTACAAATAAGTCACCGAAAATGCCTCCTTAAGATAAAACAAAAAATTCCAAATAAAAAAAGTACTATGTAAAAGACACACGAGGTTGAAAACTTCCCAGTGACTAATCAGTCTGTCAGAATATCCTGCTCATAAACATTCAAACGAAGTATCACCGAGTGTTTCAAACCGCCGAAACATGCTGAGAATAAACCGAAGTCTCAGATGTTCACGATTAAATCTCAGAACAACATTTTACACATCTACAACAGATACACATGCATGCTTTAGGTTCGAGAGATAATGGAGAAGACGAAACTCCTCAGGTTGCGTTTTTTCCCAAGCTTGTCTGAAATCCCTCATTTATCCCAACCATGTAGGTACTGATTCAATGGCTACTCGCCTGGTATACAAAGAGTACACCACAATCGATAGAACTCGATAATTAACAGTCTTTAACACTATAAGAAAGAGTATTCATTGGTCCACACCCTAAGAGGAGAAACAGAAAATCTCAAACGTCTGAATAATCTTCAAGACGGTTTTATTGCCATTTACTAATAATTCAGCCACATCACATGTACCCTTTAAACAAGCAACCTTCTAGAAACACAAGTTCCCACTATTCTCAGACAGAATGGATGAAGTCACAAGAATATTTGTAGACCTGAGAGGCCACATGGAACTGGCGATGATAACATCGAAATGTCTAGCTTTTGAGGCTAATTAGAAGGCATGAGAGATCGAAATAACGGAAACAACAAAGACATAAATTATCGCTATCATAGGGTGAGAATGAGTAAACGAATGACGCTTGGACCACAATCCATACAATCCTCGGTATCAGTTCGGTGAGAAATATCAGAAGGAAGTGAGGTGCAGAACAAATTATATTTGTAAAATCAAAAAGAAATTTCGTGAGCATTTATTAGTAGAAATTGAATATCTTCAAGACATAACTACTTCAGTGATTGTTGATTTCACTGTCATTCATCACGTCGATATTAAAGGTGATACTGGAGGTTTCATGGTTGGTTACACACCCCTGTAGCCAATTGTAGCACACGCGAGTCTCGGTCCAGAGCTCCCTGTCGATTTACTCTCCGGAGTTGGCCTCGTGCCCAAATCATCTTGATTTTGATGTATAACCAGTGCACGACCAAGAAAGCCATTGTACCGACAGATATCGCGCGGATTCACATACACATCGATTTGCAAGTTCCCTCTAGCGTCAACCACTCCGTTACCGAGATCCCCTTCATGACGGACTGTGGTATTTGGTCCACCATGATTTCTGAAGTAAGGCAATACAAACACCAATACATGTTAATATGGTGGGGAGGAATGGGAATTCTGATGCTAAGTAAAATAATAGCAAAAGTTACTATGAATTCTCTTTGATATACAACCAACGATGGAACGCCTTCTCGAGAAGCCGATCACTCATCTGCACTAAAATACCTATTCCACGTTTTGAATTTCACAATTCATTGAAGCATTCAGCAATCAGTAAAAATCGACGTGTTTTCAGCACACATGTGACTGCATATCGATCATCAAACTTCAGTCGCAGCGTGAACACTTGAAGGTATAGAAGTAGTCAGATGAAGGCAGACAAAAGTTCCTGTTATCCTAAGCCTGCATCGACTTTCCTTCACAAAATAGTACAAAGGGTATCTATCAGGAGTGAAATGGTGCATGTTGAAACTTACCTGTTGTATAGGTTCCAGTGTGGTCCTGCATCATTACAATTATTCCCAAGTCCACCATATTGATGCACGTGTACTCCATGTTGTGTTCCAGGTTGGAAGCCCGACACACTTCCATTGACGTGAATGTAATATTTACTTCCAGTGAACCAAACTGATCCTACGTATGGTGGTTTCACAAACGAGGCGACGGCTGGTGAAATTCCTCGATTTCCAGAGCCTGAGAAAAGCATGAATATCAAATTCAACATCATGGTCGAATAGCATGAAAGAAATTCGTGATAGGATAACAATAAGGATACGAATAAATCAATCACCGAACTACAAAACATCAAGGCCTCCAGAGAAACCTCCTGTCAAACGAAAACAATGACATCAGATTTCATACACCTGTGTATCTGAATATATCTGCACGAATGATCGACGAAATTCACATTCATTGAAAAACTCAATCAGGGGATAATGGTAACAGACTGACAACACCAAATTCAATGATCAAAACACCAAGACTTCAATATTGCAACGTTGTGTGGTGAGAAGGTGGGTGATGTAATCTACTTCATCTTTCTTACCTGTTTCCTAATACCAAAAGAAGAGTACATCGAGTACTTTATGCAGAGTCACATGGAAAACGACCATCTCCCTCACCGTTCCGTATTCCACTGGGTATCTCATATACACCTGCCAGTCATCCGTTGAACAGAGAAGTTGAAACTCGATAAAACACGCACAAACACACACACACAGAAACAGTGAATGAGAATTCGAATGGAGAAACCAGAATTCTCGATTCATACTGACTAGCCAAATGATGTGAAGAGTTAGACTCAAAATGAGTCCACAGAACACTTTCAGTATGCTGCATATATAAAGCGTGAGTAAACCAGTTTGATGAATGGACCAGTCAGTTGTGGTGAGTATTCGATTGTCATAGATGAAAAATCATCACCTCAACTCACATGCTACTTGCGATTCAACATTCGACGAAATAAGTGACACGACAATGAACGGGAATAGCACCATCTTGTGAGACATTTTCTCAACCAATTCACACTCGTTAATGTGATACACGGTAGTCAGACAAGTGTGACATGCACTTGTATTTATATGTGTAAATCAAAGGTTGAATAATGCTGTTTCACACACACACACACACACTCACACACACACACACACACAAAACCCCCAATCATCAAATGAGTGACTCAGTCGTGTGAAAAATCTCGGATTTTCGTGTTTCAAAGCAGTTAGAAGTGTTTTCAGGTCATCAAGTGAGTGGATTCATGTGAATTGAGGTCGTGCGTTACTTATTTTGATTTACACAGAAACAGTAATACATGTTAATAATCTGCACATCACGAATGCATCACGTGTCAATAGTTCGATCATCAGAACAAAAGGTGAACAACTGACCCCCCCCACCCACCTGTTGATCACAATATACTAGAAGTTTGATCAGAGTTACACGTAGATGTGTACGTGTAACGTTTGAGTGGAGACCTTCATTCACAGACAGAATCAGTGATGACATTATGGTGAAGACTAGTTTGAGTTACACCTGAATTTGACGTAATGTTACAAGTGAAGTGTAATGTGAATTGGTCAGATCTCTTATGCTTGTGGGAAATTTTACAGTCTGTTTTCCTATTACTGTGAAAATTTATTTCACATTGAAACTGTTAAACTGAATTAGACACCAACGTCTTCGATCATAGTTTTCATTGGTACCAATGTAAGCACCAACTCAAATTTATCTATGATCCTGCAATGATAATCAGTTGAAATACATATGTCTGGCTGCAGTCAGACTGGCCGAGAATATAAACCTGGCTAAATCTAGATTAGTTTTCTGAATTGAATTTTTTGATTTTCCCGTCGATTGATTGGACCGAAGTGCTCGGTTTCAGGTTGACGTGTCGGCTTCTTGTGCAGATGCTTCGACGATGTCTGGGGATTTGATTTGTATACGATTGGTGGATGGTGGCTAGCAGTGGAATCCAGGATGCGCATTTGTCCTATTTGGGACTCGTCAACTGGATGTACCTGCAGATTTGCTACTTCGAATAAGTTAAGAAATTTAGAGAATATTTCAGCTATAGCACTCATTACATCCAATTACACACAACAAACCATACAGTAGTTTAGGATAAGATGACATGACATTTTCATGATCTTATCTCAAAGTGTGGAGGCAGAGATTGATAACGGAATCTTTATTTAATAATAATAATAATAATAATATTAACAGCTTTATTCCAAACGGTGTTTGTGGTACAGGTGTGGAATTTTCAGCGTGCATTACAATACATTGCGTCTAATTACCTCACAAAAATTTTATAAGATTTTTAAAATCAAAAAAATAAAGAAATAAATAAAACCAATAGAGGTTTTTTTGTATTTCCCAATGAATGAAAAAACAAAATGAGATTGTTTTTACTGACATTTCGCTATTTAATGCTAAAAGCTTTCTCAAAGTATTATTAAACCGGAATTTACAAAATCTCAACATATATATAACAAAGAATTAGGGGGTGAGAATAATATAGACTTGGTTCAACTTAAAAGGACATATTGAAAGTCAAAATAACAATGAAGATCGTTCAAACCAAATATCAAAGGTAACAGTATAACTGTTATTATATCAAAATAAAGTTTACTAACTTGATCATCGTTCGTTAGTCTGGGGTCATTTTTGGTTGTCAAGTTCGACAATAGGTAAAGGTAACTAAACTAAGTGTAGGCTGTGAAATACTTGATCATCATTCGTCAGTCTGGGTCGTTTTTTGTTGTCAAGTTAGCGAACTGGTAACGATAGTAAAACCAAGTGTAGATTGTTGGATTTTGTCAGTGTGTAGAATTATGAAAGTAGTGTGCGTTTACATAGTGAACTTGCTCACCACATTTGCGTTGATTTTGCTACTTCATGGGGGAGGGTGTTGTAGCCAGGTTAGATTCTGTTTTAGTCCATCATTCCTATTCAGGCTATTTGGATTCCACTTGATATGAAGTGCTTCTGATATTAGACGTTCTTTGTGGTTTCTGAAGTTTTTCTGGATTATTTCAATATTGTCAAAATCAATTTTGTGGTCTGATTCTATAGCATGTAGACCCATGGCTGATGATTTTTGAAGTTTTTCTAGTTCAACTGGATTTCTTGGTGGTCGAAGAGAAGCTCTACGGTGTTCATTTCTTCTGATTTTGATTTCTCGAGATGTTTGTCCGATGTTGATCGCATCACATTCCGAGCATTTTATTTTATAGACACAATTAGATAGAGAATCTTTCGGGATTTGGTCTTTTATACGGACAAGGTTCCTTTGAAGTGTGTCTGATGTTTTGAAGAAAACTCTAGTGTCGAGTTGATTAAGTACTCTTCTGATATTGTCTGACGTCTCTGCTCTATATGGAATGACGGCTGTTGCAGTCCATGTTTTCGGAATGCATTTTCGGCCATACTTAATGTCTGTGTTGATTTTGTTGATGAAGTTCGTTGGGTAGTTGTTTTGCTTGAGAGTTTTAGTGATGTTTGGTATTTCTTCTTCTTTTTCTTGCTCATCTGTTATCAGGGAGTGTGCTCATCTAAGAAGACTTGAAACAACTGAAATCTTTGCGCTGATGGGGTATGATGATTTGAAGTCTAAATATTTGTTGGAGTGGGTTTTCTTCCTGAATATGGATATACTAAAATGTCCGTTTTCCTTTCTCTTAACTAGGCAGTCTAGAAATGGAAATTCACCGATGTCTGATTCTGCTTCCGAAGTGAACTGGATTTTGGGAGATACACAGTTTATTTTCTCCAGGAATGAATTGTGTAGATCTCGTTTTAGTACTACAAAAGTATCATCCACATATCTTAACCATATTTTAGGAGTGAGTATGCTTGAAAAGATATTATTTTCTAATTCTAAAATAATTACTTTCCAGACAGAATTTTAAGCTCTTAATTATTTCACTGGTGTCCAGTGGACATCTTTGTGATAGCGTTGTATCTGATTCTAGTAGACTGGAAATGATGTCAAGACTTTCGGTAATAGGGATGCTAGTATATAGTGAATTGTGACAAGCTAACAGATGCAGGTGGCAGACTACCAAATTCGTCTATAGCTAAACATCTAATCGAGATGAACCATAAGATTGATGTTAACTCAGCCTTTAAGGTCATCTATAAAAACAGTCAAGGGCGTTTACTGAAATACGCTGAGGCTATAGCTATTCATAGACTTAAGCCCTCCTTGTGTATTCAAAAACAGTTTGTCATTACTCTTAACCTACCTTGGTAATCCTTATTTGATTGGATTACCAAACGTTTATGTTAATTATTCTTAATTCCATTTTCTCTCACTTTGTTTAATTTAACCTTTCTATATATATTGACTTGACAAGTAAATGTGTGATCAGATTGTTCGAAATGTATAGCGCTAATACATCACATTTTTCAGATAGTCTCCGTCTTCTAATAACGCTATCAAAAAAAGTATATTGTGAGTTAATATCATAGCTTACCATAATATCTTCTTTATCAATTTCTCGGTGTTCTATTTGGGATTTGAAATCATATGAATTTTTTACAATATTTTGAGTGTCCTTTTGTAGTGGTTGTAGTATCGAGAGTAAGTATTTAGAAAGGTTGTATGTTGGTGAGTTGGTGAAATCTATCACTGGTCTTAGTGGAACTGTGGGTTTATGTATCTTTGGTTGACCGTAGAATCTTGAAGGTATATAAGATTTTGGTTTTAGTGTGAACCAGAGCGAATTTCCAATTTTGGGTTTCATTTCTTGAAGTAGTCTGTTTGTATTTAGTTTCATTTTGTTGAATTCGGCAGATTTCTTCTTCTCTTCAATGAGTAAGTATGGTCCTTCAGATAGGTGTTCAATCGCTTTCTTTTCATAATCCGTTCTGTTCATTATCACAGTGACGTTCCCCTTGTCGGCTTTCGTTATGACGATGCTTTTGTCTTTCTTCAAATTTCTTAAGGCTTCATATTCTTGTTTGGTGAGATTAGATGTTATGTTTCGTTGTGTCATTAATATGTGTGATATCTTTTGACGAGCAGATTGTGATTCTTCATTGGTGAGTTGTTGTAGAGCAGGTTCAATCATAGGTGCTATTTCCTGGACCGATAATGGCTTTCTAGTTATATTGAAATTCAAACCTTTCTGTAGTAATGAGATTTCATTTTCGGTTAGTGTCTTGTCTGACGTGTTATGTATGGCTCTAATATTCCTCATATCATTTGTTGAGGTTTTCTTTGGTTGTTTCTTTTCTTCGAGTTTCGAGAATTTTTGTATATGTCTTCTTTTAGTGACATTATGAAAATGAGATTCTCGTTCATTGAACAATTTTTGAAAGGATTCATAGATATGATTTGTAACAAGTAATGTTAAGCAGTCACCTATATTTTTGATTCTCATTCGATAAGATTCAAGTTTGATGTTGCATATAGGTATACGTTCTCGTAAAAATACTTTGGAGGTATGATTTGCAGCAAGTATGGATTTGTGTGAATATTCAGGAGGTTTAACAAGTAGTGATTTGGGGATAATTCCACTTTGCAGACAGCGTAAATTGAAAATACGATCAGTAAAAATACGTCAGTAAAAACAATCTCGCTTTGTTTTTTCATTCATTGGGAAATACAAAAAACCTCTATTTTAATGAATATCATATACCCAATGCCCAAATTTTTTCAAACCGTTAAAAGTGAACTTGGTTTGGATATATATAAAGAAAACCAACGCCAAAAAATAAAAGATAAATAAAAATAAAAAAAACAGCGTAGAGTTTACATTTCAAACAATGCACCACAGAATATGAAATATAAAGTTGATGTGTGATAGAAGATGAGAACAACAGTGTAATAGTAACGAGGAAAGGAAAACAAAAACTAATGGGACTATTTGTTAGAGTGCCGCAGTAAGTTTATCGTGTCATACCTAACGGATTTCTCATCACATAACAGCTGTGCCAGATATGGTATTGTGGAGTTTTTGTATTTGGTAGTCCTAGCATATAGCCTCCTATAGCTGCTTCTAGTTCTACCAGATGAAATGCAAGGAGATAG